GATGAGGAGGAGGAGGAGGAGGAGGAGGAGGAGGAGGAGGAAAAGGTGGAGGAGGAAGACGAGGAGGAGGACGAGGAGGAGGAGGAGGAGGATGGGGGAGGAGGCGGGTGGAGGGGGAGAGGGGAGGGAGGAGGGAGGAAAAGGTGGAGGAGGAGGACGAGGAGGAGGACGAGGACGAGGAGGAGGAGGAGGATGGGGGAGGAGGAGGAGGAGAAGGAGGAGAGGAGGAGGAGGAGGAGAGCAGGAGGAGAAGGAGGAGGGATGAGGATGAGGATGAGGAGGAGGAGGGGGAGGAGGAGGAGGAGGAGGAGGAGGAGGAGGAGGAGGAGAGAGGAGGGAGGAGGAGGAGGAGGAGGGAGGAGGAGGAGGAGAGGAGGAGGAGGAAGAGGAGGAGGAGAAAGGGAGGGAGGAAGGAGGAGGGATGATGATGGATGATGATGATGAGATGATGATGATGAGGAGGAGGAGGAGGAGAGGAGGAGGAGGAGTAGGAGGAGGAAGAGGATGAGGCGTGTGGATGAAGAGGGCAAGGGGGGAGAGGAGGAAGAGGAAGAGGTGGAGGAGGAGGATGAAGAGGAAGAGGAGAAGGAGGACGAGGAGGAGGAGAAGGAGGAGGAGGAGGAGGAGGATGAGGGAGGACGTTTCAGATGTTACAATATTAAGATTCATCTCCGCTCAACGTCAAACAGGGAGGAGTAGGAGGACCAGTGTAAACCCAAGAACCTTCAGCAATGTTGCAATACACCCTCAAGCATCTCTCTTCATGGCTCTCTAAGAAACTTAGCTTCGTTGTGGTCAGTGAGTGCCATTAGAAAACAACCCTCTGAGAGTGCTCACTCGTGCCAGAACACTGTTCCTGGGGCCGCGACGCCGTGGATCAACGCGATTGTCGCGTCCTGACAATCCCAACTCGTGCCAAGACACCAGTCCTGGGACTTCCACACCGCCAATCAATTTGGTGGTTGCGTCCTGGCAATCGTAAGCGGTGCCAGAAAGCAGTTCCTGGGACTTCAACCATGTGAATCCCTGAAGCTGCTGCAAGCTTTTGACAACCAATGTGCGCGGCGCGGAGGCGAGACCTACGTTTTGACAACGACTCGCCCTCCAGCCATGAAGCCGTTGCAAACTTCTAAAACCAATGTGCGCGGCGCGGAGGCGAGACCTACGTTTTGACAACGACTCGCCCTCCAACCATGAAGCCGCTGCAAACTTTTGAGACAAAAGTGCGCGGCGCTGAATCGAGAATCGCATTTTGGGAACAACCGTCTTCCATTCGTGAAGCTGTTGCACACTTCAAAGTTCATGATCGGAAATGGCGAGGAACGTCTCAGGCGAAAACACGCGGTGGAGATACGAGTAAACGTAAGATCCTGTCGGCGAGACTGAAGAGCGGAGGGGCAGATAAGGAGCAGCAATCAGAAGAACCCGTTCGGGAGCAGGTGGAGAAAAGGGAGACATGGTTGGAGAGGAATGAATAGGAAGAAACACAACATGATGAAGAGAAAACGGAGGAGGATACGGAAGAGTCAAACAGGGAGGGACAAGGAGGACTAGGAGGCCAAACGCCACGGAGGAGGATCAGGAGGAGCAGGACTACCACTCGACTGAGGCCCATTATCAGCCTGCTTCTCTCCCTGTCTCTCTTTCTATCTCTGCTCTCTGGGTGGCAACGACGGCGGCGATGACGTCGGACTCGACAATCAGCTGGAACGCGCGCGGGGCGACATTCACGATCGACGAGGCTTTCTGTGCGATCATCTCGCCGGACAGTAGGTCAGTTTCTCGAGGCGACTGCGCGCGTGTGCTGCCACCTGATCTGGCATGTCTTTCAGGTGTTTGTTTTGCTAGCAAATCCATGGCGCGCAGCTCAGCCACAAGGGCCTGGACCAGCGGCTTCGCCTCGCCGAGCGCGTAAAAGCGAATCGACGTCGTCAAATCGCGCGTCTCGTCTCGGGATGCAGTGACTAAGCGTTGATAATGGTTCCACTGTTTGTCCGTGGGCTTGCGGACAGCCCGCAAATATTCTGCTCCGACGAAGACGGAATCTTGCGAATATCTGCGTCGGTAGCTATATTTGGCTTCGTGGAGCTGTTGACGGACATCTTCGTGCAACTTCGCAAAATGACACCGCGTCGCCAAGCGCAGCGTCCAACTTCGCGCGCGCCAAAACAGCCGACGGAACATCCGCGACAACTTCCATGTGCACATCGCGAACGTGTTGGGCAGACGGAACAACGCGGGCAACCGTTCCTTCCTTTCCGCGGGCGCGACCGTGGAATGCTCCCAGAGGGTCGAATCTAGCTTGTGAGAGCGCTCCTGGCAATGCTCGCGAAGGGCGCGCCGGTGCGCCGAAACGCTCTCCTGGAGGTGTGCGCCCGCGCCGGCAGCGAGCGACTTGGCCTCCGCGTCGCAGTGCTAGCTGAAAGACCGCTTGAAGTCGTGGAAGTGGTCCTCGACGACGGACATCTGCAACGCAAGGGCGCCAGAGGGGGGGGGCGCGTAAAAAGCAAGGCGCCGCCGAAAGATGTTCTTATTCTTGTGCTCGTGCACATGGACCCACTGGACGTGCTTGTAGGATGTATCTTCGAACTCTTGCGGACAAACCCACGTGCGCTCGACGTGTTAACTCGCGGCACAAAGGGCGGCGGGGCGCGGGGGGGTGGGGCCGCCCGCCAGCCGTGATTGATCAGGCTCAATCGCTTCTCAAAACGCGTCTTGGACCGCCGCGGGCACAGCAGGAACGACATCATCGCGAGTGATCTTTCGGCGGCCAGCCCGGGGGGAGTGAGAGGGGGCGGGCCTTCCCACGAGGCGCTGAAACCCTCCGACCATCTGAGCAATTGTCTCAGGTTTCCCCGAAGACGCAAAAGACTTCTCAGAGGGCCAGAGGGCTTCTGATAATCCCCGCCGCCGTAGGCATGGGTCTTCGACGGCGATGGGCGACGGGCCCTCCGCGCCACCATCGCGCCAGGATGCCGCGGGAAATCTCCGGTCAGTCAGTCAGCCAGTCGCAGCTGCCGTCGCTCTGGGAGGCGGCGCCGTCGCGTCGCGCAGGCGCGCGAGGCGCGCTGGCGCATGGAACGAGGTCCTGTCGTCCAAAGCGCGGACACAAAAACGACAGAAGAACTGACGACGACGACGACGATGACGAGACGGCGGCCGGGCGCAGGGGCAACCTCCTGTGTCCAAGCCGGGGGTGGTAACCCATCCTCGGCCGAATCGGGGGCAAGGGTAACCGTTTAACTCCGGGCCGCCGGTGGTGACCCATCGGCAGCCGAACCGGGCGCAGGGGTAACTCTTTGCGTCCGGGCCGGGGGTGGTAACCCATCCTCGGCCGAACCGGGGGCAGGGGAAAACCCTTGTCCCGCGGCGGCGTCCCGCGGCGACGCCGCGGGATTGTCCCAACGGCTTTGTGTCGCGTGCCAGCGGCTCGCGGGGTTGCCCCGACGGCCTGGCCCGTGGGGTTGCCCCAACGGCTTCGTGATGTGGCCATTAGAGAACGCGCCCGTGCTGGCCGAGGCGGCGACGGCGCCGGGGAAAGCGAAACGCGCGCTCATGCAATAAAAAGGGGAGGAGGTGGGGGGGGTGAAAAAACCAGGAGGGCGAGGAGGGAGCGGGAGGACGGCCTGCGCCAGGGTGGGAAGGCGAATGACGCAGAGGAGACAAGAAGGGCGCCTCACCAATCACGAGGCCGACGATGAGGGTTCTTTCCGGATTCGCCGAAGAGATGCTCATGTGGGGTCCTACCGTCGGATCAATTTATGAGAAAGATGGATGGAGCCGCGAGCGCCGCACAGCATTGGCTGCAAGGGACCCTGAGATCCGGCGCCACGAAAAAACATGCCAAGTAGTGAAATATCACTACGGCCCTCGACCCCGCATTCCTGCGGCACTTCTCGAGTCGCATCGATCCGCGAGGGCCCTGGAGCCCGCAACCCTGCCGAACGTCTGGAGCCAAACGCATCTTACGTAAGACAAGAGACCACTTAAATGGGGTGCGAGTGGATGGGGTCGCAGGATCGCACCGCATCGGCGATGCCTCGGCGATACATCGGCGAGCGATGCATCGGCGACGTCGGCGGTGCATCGGCGACGCCAGAATGGAGCAGATCGAGCTCCACATCGAGCCGTATCGGCAATCCATCGGCGATGCGGAGCGATCCTCCGACCCCATTTGATCCGACCCCATCTGGGAGTCTAGAAAGACGAAACCAGGACTGGGACAACGTCGGACGGGGCCAGGCCAAGACAAATTCGGCGGCTCTGGAGGATGCAGCAGGCGCCGCGATTGTTCCAGAGCGCTCCAGAACACACCGGGAGCATTCCAAGACGCTCTAGAACCAAACGTTCGATGCCTTGTTTCTTCCAATACGGGGTCCCCGGAAGTGCCGACCCTTTCCCCAGGGCCGAAATTTCACCTCGCGCAGTGTCTTGACGATCCCGGGGCCCGGCCAGGGCCGCCAGGGGCCCAAAAACCTCCTGTGGTGATTTTTCCACGGCGCGAGCATGTCTGGGTCTGGAACGCTTTGAGAGCGTTGCGGGACTCGGCTACACGCAGGAGTGACCCTAGGCAGGAATGACCTTCAGTGCGCGGACCAAGGGGGCGCAACGTGGCCAAACCCGAGCGCGCAGGCAGCCGCCATCGCATCGCGTTCGGCGATCGGGGGGCCCCAATGGGCCCGTACCAAAAGGTCACTCCGGCGAAGAGTCACTCTTACGTGCAATCGACTTGAAAGCGTTGCGGGGCGCTCTGCAGGTCATCGTGCTACCATGAGGAGCGTATTTTCAGGATCGGAGGGGCTTTTCTGGCCACGGCGGGCCTGGGCCACGAACAGGCTCCACGACCTGAGTCCAAGGAGTGGCCCGAAACCCCGGGCCCCTCCTGAGCCCGGAGCGGTCCGTAGTCTCAGCGTCTTGACTGTGAAGCGATGTCTTCCTGTCCTGGGCCCACCCGACAGCGCCAGGGCCTCAGACGAGCTCGTCGCAGGCGGCGGGGGCTGTCAGAGGCTGCCCTCGTACGTGATCGTTTGCCCCCGCCGCGCGTTGCACAGCGTCTTGCCTGTGGGGGGGAAGAGGTCGAGGGGGCCCGCGGGTTGGGCCGTGCAGCGGGGCCGCAGTCCCTCCCGCCGCTTCTCCCGCGCCCGCCTCTGCTCCTCCGTCGCCCCACCTCCTCCTGTCAGTTTGTTCTCTGTCGCCGGTGTGAAGCCCACTCGTCGACCATCGTATCCCACCTCACCCGGGCCTGCCACAAGTATCCTTCATCGGGAATTCGAGAATATCGCCTCCAGCATTCGATGAACGAGCGACGCCCTTGGACAAGGTCACCTTGTCAGTACCACCCGAGCGGTGCAATTTTTCACACCAGGCGTTTTCGCAGAGTTTCGGGCGCCAGGGCTATCACAAATCGATCCTGCTCGAAAAATGCAGCAGAAATATTTGGTCTAGGGCTCTCGTCTTGAGTTTGGGCGATGTGGCAACTTTTTCGCAACATCGGATCCCAGGGGCTCTCCGACCCACATTCAATCAGGACCATGAGCGCCCACAACCATGAGAATTATCCCGGCAAAGCAACCTAACAGCGATGTGTATAAGCATATCTGGAAGCATTCCCCTTAAGATTCAGGTGATAATCCAGTTGTAGAATTCTGCTGTTCTCGCAGTCGCAGTCGCATTCGCGATGACAGTCGCAGTGGCAACGGCCTTCGGATCCAATGGAATCCTAAGGATTCCTAGGGATTCCTAAGGCATCCTTAGGAATCCATAGGAATCCTTAGGAAACCTTAGGAATCCTGATTCCTAGGGATTCCTAGGGATTCCGAAGGATTCCTGAGGAATCCTAAGGATTCCTAAGGATTCCTGAGGATGCTTAACTATGCCTACGGATTCCTAAGGATGCCGACGGATTCCTAAGGATTCCTATGGATTCCTACGGATGCCTCAGCCTGCCTCAGCCTGCCTCAGCCTCAGCCTGCCTCGGCTTGCCTCAGCCTCAGCCTGCCTCGGCCTCAGCCTGCCTCAGCCTCAGCCTCAGCCTCAGCCTCAGCCTCAGCCTCAGCCTGCCTCAGCCTCAGCCTGCCTCGGCCTCAGCCTGCGTCAGCCTCAGCCTCAGCCTGCCTCAGCCTCAGCCTCAGCCTCAGCCTCAGCCTGCCTCGGCTTGCCTCAGCCTCAGCCTCAGCCTGCCTCGGCCTCAGCCTGCCTCGACCTCAGCCTGCCTCAGCCTCCCTCCGCCTCAGCCCCCCTCCTCCCCCCCCTCCCCCTTTCCCCCCCCATTCAGCCTCACCTTGTCTCAGCCTCAGCCTGCCTCGGCCTCAGCCTCAGCCTCCTCAGCCTCAGCCTCAGCCTCTCAGCCTCAGCCTGCCTGCCTCAGCCTCAGCCTCAGCCTCAGCCTGCCTCAGCCTCAGCCTCAGCCTCAGCCTCAGCCTCAGCCTCAGCCTCAGCCTCAGCCTCAGCCTCAGCCTCAGCCTCAGCCTCCAGCCTCAGCCTCAGCCTCAGCCTCAGCCTCAGCCTCAGCCTGCCTCAGCCTCAGCCTCAGCCTCAGCCTGCCTCGCCTCAGCCTCAGCCTCAGCCTCAGCCTGCCTCAGCCTCAGCCTCAGCCTCAGCCTCAGCCAGCCTCAGCCTGCCTCAGCCTCAGCCTCAGCCTCAGCCTCAGCCTCAGCCTCAGCCTCAGCCTCAGCCTGCCTCAGCCTCAGCCTGCTCAGCCTCAGCCTCAGCCTCAGCCTCAGCCTCAGCCTCGGCCTCAGCCTCGGCCTCAGCCTCAGCCTCATGGGGGTTCTGGGAACACGATGAACACGAAGTGGTCTACAGTTGGCTCCAGGCATTCAAAATGTTGCCTGGGAATGGTGTTTGGGAACACGAAGAACACGAAATGGCCTACAGTTGGCTCCGGGCATTCAAAATGTGGCCTGGGAATGGTGTTCTGGGAACACGAAGATCACGAAGTGGCCTACAGTTGGCTCCGGGCATTCAAAATGTGGCCTGGGAATGGTGTTCTGGGAACACGAAGATCACGAAGTGGCCTACAGTTGGCTCCGGGCATTCAAAATGTGGCCTGGGAATGGTGTTCTGTTGGCTCCGGGCAATCAAAATGTGGCCTGGGATAAGTTTCTGGGGAGTCCCCGGATTCCCGGCACCCGTCCGTCATCTGCCCAGACCCCCCTGGGGAGTCATGATGCTCTCTTTTGAAACCACTAGAAACCTATCAGTCTTCGCTGTTAGGTAAAAACTGCGACGTCGTCGTCGCCACCGTCGTCCTTCAAGCTCCAACGTCGCGATTTTTGTGCAGTCCGCGGGCTCCATGAGCTCTCGACCCCTTCCCCGGGACCAACTTTTCGTCCCCGATCCGTCTGTGATGGCACCTAGAGCCCGAAACGGTCCTCCAGGGGCCGAGATCGAGCTCGGGGCGATCTGGGGCGCCCCGAACGCCTCTCGGCGAGGCGCGGCGGCTGGAGCGCATCCCGAGGCCGGGAGGCCGCCGAGGACCAACGAAGACGCTCCCAAATCTGAACGATCCAGTCGGGTCGGAAACTCAAGTCCTGCCCCTGGACTTAGCAACAACACCACGACGTCAGATGTCTGCGTCGTCGTCGCGCCGCCAGTCCTGGGGCGGACGATAGGGGGGGACAGCAGAAGGGGGGCTAGGCGAATTGGCTGCTCGCAGCCTGTTCCTTTACGCGCAACCTTACGCCGTACGCGGGCAGCTTACGAGCCAATGTCGGTGAAGACGAACCTGGACTTACCCCTATCCCTAAGATGAACAAGCCACAAATGAGGCCAACCTTAGGGATCTGCCCTCAGAAACTGCGGGAATCCTTAAGGTCGACACCGAGCTAAGGTGATGCCAAACATAGGGATCGGGATATGCCTCAAGCTGGCAAGAACCCGTTTTCCTTCGTCGCTCACTTGCGCCCCCGCCCACCGCTTGCGCTCAGCACCTCGACGTCGAGCAGCCCGTCCGCGCGCGGGTCCTCTGCGCCCGCGGCGGCGCCCTCGGCGCCCGCGCCCGCGGCGCCGGCGGCTGCCGGCACGGCCACCGTGCGCTGCTCCCCGGCCGCCAGCGTCGCGACCTCGGCGGGGGGCCGCGGGCGGGAAGCGCGCGCGTGCGGGCACGCACGTGCCCGACGTCGGCGCCGTGCTGGGGCATCGGCGCCTCGCTCGCTCGCTCGCCCGCCGCCGCGCCCGGGTCGTAGGCGCCGAGGCCTCTGGGAGGCCTCGGCGCCTCGCTCGCTCGTCCGCTCGCCCGGCCGAGCAAGCTGGTCGCACGGGCGAGAGCGGGGAGTACGCGGCCCTGGGTTTTTTCGGGGCCCCAGAGCCTGGCCGACATCTGCGCGCTCCCGCAACACGCCGGCCGCAGCACTTCAGATTGGTCTACGTCGGCCGAAATTTCAGCAAGCTCCCATATTTCTATCCACGGCATTCTCCCCGTGCCCCGTGTATGTTAGTGTACCGTCCTCAGATATGCGATGCCCTGTTTTTTCAATATGGGGTCCCCAAGAATCTCGATGCTTTCCCCAGAGCCGGTTTCTCACCCCGAATTGTTTTTTGACGGTCCCGGGGCCCAACGAAGGCCTCCGGAGGCCGTAATCGGCCAAACACCTCCCGTAGTACTATTGCTCACTGCGCGACCATGTCTCGGCCTGGGGCCCCTCTCCCTCTCTGGAGAAGGTCTCCGCCGGCGTGCGAGAGGCAAGAGGATAGGAGGAGGAGAAGCAGGAGGGGAAGGACCGATTTTTTTGAACACCCGCGCGAATGCGGCCGTCATGCACCCCCAGAGGCAGGCGAGCCCTCTGGGGGGTGACTCTGGCTTCCGCGACCGCACAATGAAGAACAGGCCAGCAGTGACGCCAGACCTGGCTCACACGCAGCTGCACACGACCAGGGCGTCCGCGGCACAGGTACCATAGCGAGCGCCCTCCCCAGACCAGCTGGAGGGCGCGAGAGAAAAAGCAAACCGAACGGGGGACCGCGGCGAAGGCCGCCAGCTGCCGCCTTGGGGCGTCAGGGGGCCTCGGCGAGCGCCGCTGTGGACTCAACGGTTCGCACGAGGCTGGGCCGATCGTCCTCCAGGATCGACCCTCGGCCCCCGCAGCCCCGGTGCAGCTCTCCCCGCAGACACAGCTGCCAGGTACGGGCTGCGATGGCAGCCAACACGACCCCCTGCTGCACAGGTGGGGCCACCTCTCGGGAGGAAAGCCTGCTCCAGCGGCTGGAGCAAGCGGACCAAATTGGGCGGTGGGCATGTAAATCATCCCTGCGGCCGACGCCTGAAAAAACAGAGGCCTGGAGGAATCAACAGCCCACGAGACAAGGCGCTCGACACAACCGCAAACAGATAACGCAAGATGGCTGCCGAGCAGTTGTTCCGCTGACCCAGAAACAGCCAGCGAAACACCACCAACAACACAATGAAAGAAACATGTCCCCTGCGCTAGCGGAGCCCCATCGGCCCGAGTTCCAGGGCTGGCTGCGCGTCACTAGTACCACCAAGCAGGACGACCGAAACACGTTGATCATACTCATCTGAGTTAACACCGAGCTCGCAGACAGCTTCTTCCCCCCCCCAGATCCTGCGAACGCGCCCGAGCTGGTCAGCTCCCCCTGGCGAAGCATGCAATGCTGCCAGAGGATCAGAAGGATTGCTGGGCGCCCCTGTGACCACAGCCCGTTCCAAGCGGGGCTGGGTCGCCACACGACGAGGCCGTACACCAGCCCCTTCCGAGGCATTCTGCTCTCCCTGAAAGGCAGAGGCCACAGGACGGTCGAAACATCCTTCATCCTTGCCACCACCACCAAGCAACAGAGGAAGAGGCTCGAGCGAGGAGGCAACAAAAGAACCAGAGGGATGCTCTTCGGGCCGACCTAGCCTCAGCTGCTTCCGCGAAGGGAAGCCTTACCTGATCTTGTGAACATTGGTTTTGCCGTGACCCCTTAACTCGCCAGAACACACATTTGAAAGGCTAAGTGTGACGAACGCGGCTTGATGCATGGACACTCCGCGACGCAAGCAACAATTCAGATCCGCACCGTCAGAGCATGAAATAAGAATCTACGCTGTTGTTGCGGGAGTCAACTACTCTCAGATTTGCCTGACAAGAGCCGCCGCAGCTCCCGCCAGGGGGGGATACATACAGATCTAGCACACCTCTACAAACTGTACGCCTCCAAATCGAGTGTTACCACTGCTAAACATGAGTGGGACCTTTAATATTTCCCGCCCCGGAGGTAGGAACATTAGGCACCCGCATACATTTAGAGAGGTTGAGGCGAGGCCAAGCCAGTAGAAACTTTGCAGCGAGCTTGCACACAAACCTGCAAAATCGCACACACGCACACACCTGTCTACACGATCCATATCCGTCGGGTTCGCCTGCGGGTGAGATGTGGCCCCTTGCTGCGCAGTTGCGTCGGCAAAAGCATTGCCGATCCTGAGAAGCCTTTCCTCCTCGGGGATACCCTCTTCGTCGGTCCTTTGATGAGCCTTGACATTCGATAGGGTCCCGCGGAGCGGTTGGTGTATATGAAGGTAACAGAATACCTACGCATGTAAGACAGCCTTTCGCTAGGCGGACGCTTAAAGTGATTGCAGACGGCGAAACAATCATAAACAACAACGTCCAAACAAGCACATGCGCCCAAGGCTGCCATAGCGAGAGATGAGCATTCTCCCGTTAGTACGGTCTGGCTTATGATGGAGGGGGAGGAAAGAACATCAGGAGCAGGAGGAAGAGTAGGAAAAGGAGGGAGAGGAGGATGCAAAGGGGAGGAGGCAGGCGGAGGGGAAGGGGGGCGAGGATGCACGACGAGTTTTCCCTTATATTTTTCCAGCGCGTCTTTAGGAGAGGGGGAGAGAGGGGGAGAGGGACGCGGCCAGCTGATGATCGACGAGCCACCTGTCTCCTCGCGTTGCAGTCTCAGGGCCCTGGGATAGGCGGACATATTGCGACCATCTGCAAATCGCGCATGGTGGAATGTTCCACGTCGAAATGGGCGGAAGCGGTCAGCAACTTCATGCTCCCACCCCACACGCCGGTGCGTCGACCAAATTACGCCTATACTGCGCGACTGCACGTCGAAAAAAACTCTCGCGCGCGTAACCGTCACAAGCGACAACGACGGGACTCGCACGGCTGCCCAACGCGAATGAGGAAACGGCGGAAACCGGACTTCGCCCCCCTTTTGGAAAGCTGCAGCCCGCTGAAGAGGACAGAACAATGCAGTGATGAGGTCGGACAAGGAGGAGGGAAGGAGGAAGAACACTACGAGGAGGGGAGAGGATGATAATGAGGAGACGATGGCGCGAGGGAAGAGGATGATGATGAGGATGAGGAGTAAGTAGGAGGAGGAGGAGGAGGACGAGGAGGAGGAGGAGGAGGAGGAGGAGGAGGAGGAGGAGGAGGAGGAGGAGAGGAGGAGGAGGAGGGGAGGAGGAGGAGGAGGAGGAGGAGGAGGAGGAGGAGGAGAGGAGGAGGAGGAGGAGGAGGAGGAGGAGGACAAGGAGTGAGGAGGAGGAGGAGGCGGAGGAGGAGCAGGAGGAGGAGGAGGAGGAGGAGGAGGAGGAGGAGGAGGAGGAGGAGGAGGAGGAGGAGGAGGAGGAGGAGGAGGAGGAGGAGAGGAGGAGGAGGAGGAGGAGGAGGAGGAGGAGGAGGAGGAGGAGGAGGAGGAGGAGGAGGAGGAGGAGGAGGATAGGGAGGAAGAGGGGGATGAGGGGGCGGACGCACCTCGGGGGAAGGGGGGGGGGAGGGACAGGAAGAGGAAGAGGAGGACGAGCAGCAAAAGGAGAACGTACTGCCCTGTTGGAGGCAGCTGGGGAGATTTTTCATTGCCTTTTGGGAGGTCATTGGGGCTTCTGGGAGCGAGAGCTTTTTTGAGGCCTCTTGGGGCCCATTTTGGAAATTATTTGTGGGACTGTCGAAAACGTCTGGGGCGCCTTCGGGGCCGCGTGCATTGTCATGTGGCCATCTTGGGCTTTCTTGGAGTTCCTTGAGGCCGTCTTGGGCGGCCCCTTGGGATTTCGCGGGGCTCCTTGGACGCCGTTTTGGGGCCGTCTTGGAGGCTTCTGAAGCCTCTTGGGCCGTCGTTGGCCATAGAAAGCCCTAATCAGGGAGAGCACCCCAAATCCTCAAAGCCTAAAACATATCATAGGCTGGCGGCCCTCTTGGGGATCCCTGGGGGCCCTCTTGGGAGCCTGTGGGGTCGTCCTGTGGCCATCTTGGAGTCGTGTGGGAGCCGTCCGCGAGCCTGTTGGGAATCGCTGCCAAGCTTCTGGGGCCTCCGCGGCTAGTCGGGGAGGCCCAGGAGGCCGTCCCGAAGGTGCCCGTGGGCGGGGGGAGGGCCGTCCGAAAGGGGTCCTGTGATTCTCTCTCTCTCTCTCTCTCTGTATGTGTGTGTGTGTGTGTGTGTGTGCGTGTGTGTGTGCGTGTGTGTGTGTGTGTGTGTGTGTGTGTGTGTGTGAGTGTGTGTGTGTGTGCGTGTGTGTGCGCGCGTCTCTTGCCTTTGTGTTGTGCCTCCTTCTTCCCTCTCGCTTCCCTCCTCGGCGGGCTCCTTCCACTCTCCGTGGCTTGCCTTGCCCTTGTGGTGTGTGGTGTCTCCTCCTCCCTTCCCCTCGGCTCCCCCTCCTCCGTCGCTCGGTCCGTGTGCTTCGCGCCCGTCCGTCTCCCCCCTCGGCTGTCCGCTGTCGCTCCTCGCTTCTCCCTCGCTTTGCTTGGCCTTCCTCTCCCTTGTCTGGCTGGCCCCTCGTCGTCCTAATTCGGGCTGGCTTGGCCTCTGCCCTGCGCTGCCTGTCCGTCGCCCCCGGCCTCCGCCCCGTGAGGGGCCAACCATCTCGCTTCTTGGTTGCCTTCTCCTCGACGCTGCATGCCCCGCGAGGGGCGCGAGCCGCCGCGCTGCTACGGCCGAAAGCGCGTGCGTGATTTGGACGCCCTGTCGCTGCGCGCGGGGCCGCGACGCTAAGCAAGTGTGTGTGTGTGTGTGTGTGTCTGTGTGTGTGTGTGTGTGTGTGTGTGTGTGTCTGTGTCTGTGTGTCTGTGTCTGTGTCTGTGTCTGTGTCTGTGTGCGTGTGTGTGTGTGTGTGTGTGTGTGTGTGTGTGTGTGTGTGTGTGTGTCTGTGTCTGTGTCTGTGTCTGTGTCTGTGTCTGTGTCTGTGTCTGTGTCTGTGTCTGTGTCTGTGTGTGTTTTGTGTGTGTGTGCGTAGGTGTGCAAGTGTGTACGTGTGTGTGCGCGTGTGTGCGCGCGTGTGTGGACCATCCGTTGTTTCTTCCATGCGTGATGTATAACTCTATGTACACGTGTATGCATGTTATTCGATGCCTGGACCTTTTCAGAACGACCCCCCCCGAAATCTGGACCCTTGCCCCAAGGCCGACTCTTCACCCCGAGTCGTTTTCTCACAGCCCCGGGGCCTGGCGAGGGCCCCCGAATGCTGAACACAGTGCGCAACCTCCGACTTGACTTTTTCAAGACCTGGGAAGCTTGGTTTTCAGGATGTAACTTGGAACGCCAGCGGCCGTTCGGGACGATTTAGGCACCTCCGAATCTTCCTCGGTCAGGCGCAGCTTCAGGAAAGCACCCCGAGACTGGAGCATCCCCAAGAACCAACGAACACTTCCGAACTCGAAAGGGGAGGACCCCCCCCCCGCAAGGAACAAATGCCCTCCTCCTCCTCCTCCTCCTCCTCCTCGGTGCTTGGTGCTGATCGCGATGGGGTCTGATCCACACGCAGCCGTACCCACCCCCCCAGCGGCCTTGGCCGCTCAAGGGGTATGGGGGGTGGGTGGGCTGAAGACGACGTGGGAGGAAACCGACAGACCGGCAACAACTGGGGGAGCTGTGATCATCACCCCATGAGGGGCTCATCGGCTTCGACACCCCTCTCGTCGAGAGATCGTCGAGACGATGGGTTCCCTCAGGGGGGTAAGGAACACAGCTCCCCCAGCTGTGGCTGGTTGGATCAAGGTTGCGCGCAGGAGGGGGTGAAGAGGGAGAGACAACAGAGCGGCGGAACGACGCGGGGCCTGCGACGAGTCCTCCTCCTCCTCCTCCTCCTCTCCCTTCCTCCATCCCTTCCTCCTCCTCTCCCTTCTCCTCGTCCTCCTCCTCCTCCGCCCTATCCCCCTCCCTGTGCTATGATCGGTCCTTCTCGGTCGGTCGGTCGATGAAGGCTCCTGGGTAACGCAGCCTATCGCAGGTGGATTAGTGGAGAAAAGAACAGCAAGCAAAGGCAGTGGGTGTTGTAGAAAACCATGAGCCGCACCAACATCCTACACAGCCAGGGTGCCACCCTCTACCTCACCAGGTCCTCCTCCTCTTCCTCCTCCTTCCTTTTCCTCCCTGGCTCAGCGTCTCGCGGGGAACGCTCCCCCCCTGGCCCCCCGCCAGAACTCCGACGTCGTGATTTTCGCGCAGCGTGGACCCCCGGAGATCCGGACTCCTTCCCCGGGACCGGTCGTTCTTCCCCCATCGTTTTTGGACGGTCCTTGGGCCCGGCGAGGGTACCCAGACGCCGAAAACGGCGAAATATACAGCGCCCTGACTTTCCCAGAAGGTTGGAAGTCTGGTTTTCGGATCAAATCTCGGGTCTCCGGCGGCCGTTCGGGACGATGCAGGTACCCCCGAAACGCTCTCTGTCAGACGCAGGTGCTGGAACACATGCTGGGGCAAGAAAACCTTCAGGAACCACCGTAACCGTCGAAAACATTGTTGGCTTAGCCGCCCCGATACACAACACGCAACACATAGCGTACTGATACGGAGCTCAACGCGTTGACTGAAGACATAGGTTTGACCGAAAACGTAGGTCTGACGCGATACGTTCGCAAACATGTCGGCCAATACGTTCAGCCACCACGCGACGTGTCGCCACGGAGTTTGAGCACCGCGCGTGTTGCGTATCAAGGTGGGCGCATCGAGGGCGTTTGCTCGGATCCTACTTGGGGGGCCCGGGTCTTCGGCCAGCCAGGCCGCGGGCCAGCAGCGGCTTCTCGAACAAGCGCCTGAGGTGCTGCCCGCCGCCCGCGAAGAAGCGGAACGTCACGGCCTCAGCGCCGTGGTTGGCGAGGGCCACCGGGCCTCCGGGCAGGGGCAGGGAGAGGGCCTTCCCCAGGCGCGCTCGCGGCACGGGAACCCTCGCCAGGCCCTGGGACCCTCGCCAGGCCCTGGGACCGTCCAAGAACGACTCGGGATGGAAAGCTGGCCCCGGGTCGGGACTTCCGGGGACCGCGTGTGGAAGAAATCAAGACGTCGCATGTCTGGGAGAAGGCCCATGATGACCGTTCCATCCTGGGTGGAGGGGGAGCGATAGGGCAACCGTCATGTGCTGGATCGGATCGGGTCGAAATCAGAATCGAGACTTGGGATCAGATCGGCCCGTGACCAGCTCTGTCGGGCCCCTCGGGGCCCCCGAGGGCTCCAGGGGATCCTGGATGAGGGTCAACGAGATGGGGGGGGATCGGCTCAGGGGGGAAGCATCGACCTGGAATCGGGCCTCCAGGCGTCCAGGCAGGAGCATGAAAAGGGCCGTTTGCGACCGTCTCATCCTGGATAACTACTCTCCGGGGGGAGGAATACTATCTTATTTGGCGTCGCGCACGACGAGGTAGGGGCAGGGGCGAAGGCTTCTTGGAAGGAGGCTGCTTCTTGGAAGGCGCCAGTCTTACATCTGTAGATCAGGCCCGTGCCTTCCAAGAAGAAACCTCCTTTTAAGAAGCCTTCCCCCCTCCCCTACCCCCCTTCTGCGTATGGCCAATCTATAGCAACATGTGTTTTACACGCCGGCGCTTTTCCCTCGATCTCGGCCTCGGGGACCCTTTGGCGGGCCCTGTGGCCATCGAGAACTTTTCTGGGGCGAACATCGGGTCGCGGATTGAAGTGCCCCAGCGTTGACCCCAAATATGAATGCATGATTACCCGTCGGTCGGAAGAAGTGGGTAGAACCATGAAGCATGAAGGCGTTGGAAATACTTTGGGTTTCAGCGCGCCCCCTTGAGAGGAAGGACTAATACGGAAAACCGCCCTAGTTTTTAAATATGAAGGCGGCTCAAGTAGATTGGGATCTGGGAATCTAGAATTACCTACTTCCAACGACCAGCGTGTATCTCTGTATGCACTTCGCCCAGTACGCGGAACATCAGCAACAACATCATCAGCAAAGCTGGCAGAGGCCTCGGAAAACGCATCCCTCATGACCAAATAAGATCCCCTGTTATGCCAGAACATATGGGGGATAATCATAGCGGAGGATGCCTGAGTTGCTGTTGTTTTCCACTGCTGGGCAGATGGGAGTGCAGCAGGCTGCAGACGAGCGGAGATGGAGCCTGCAGGGCGGGAGCAGGAAGAGGGCCTGACGACCAGTTTCTTGTCGAATGCGCTCGGAGGGCGAGTCGCAGCTTACACCTAGGATCCAAATATGCTCGCGTGGTGACGAAAATCAAGACGGGAGGTTTTGACATCGGCCTGTGGGGGCCCTCGCTGGGCCCCAGGACCGTCAAAAGCGAGTCGGGGTGGAAAACCGGCTTTGAGGAAAGGGTCGGGACGTTTTTTTTTTTTTTTTTTTTTTTTTTTTTTTTTTTTTTTTTTTTTTTTTTTTTTTTTTTTTTTTTTTTTATATATATATAAATATATGTATATATATAACAAATCAAGCCATCGCATGTCTGGGTTTAGGAAGCAGCTCCGGAGGAGGTCCTCGTGAGAACCGGGCCACTCAGCCCGAATAAGGGGCCATTGAGCCAGAGTCGGCCAGATCGTAAACCAGATTCAACGGGATTGCGCGGGATTCTGCCAGATCGACCCAGTTGTAGACCACGGATGTGCCAGCGCCGATTCTGAATTGAATCTCCAAGGAGTTCCATCCTAAGTCCCCTGGGCGGTGGCACGCCCGAGCGTCACCCAGGACAACGCGACGCTCAGGCGTGCCACGGCCCAGGGGTCGGCCCCCCCCCACCCCCGATGGGATCTGGGTGTTGGTGGTTGTTCACGTTTCTCCTCCGATCGCAAAGGGAACGTTTGGGGGATGGCCGGCTCCGAGGGGAAACGCTGACCAGGAACCAGGAATCGGCGATACATTGTCAATAGATCGGCGACAGACCCCCGAAAACGAAATCGCACGTTCCTGGGCGCGGAGGGCTATCAGGCCCCTATCGGCGATCAGTGGAGGATTGGGGGTCGCTGGGTCCACCCCTAAGCCTATCCCCCCTAGCATTGCCCCTGATGGATACGCTCGGAGGGGGAGTACAAGTCTGCAGGAGGTTCGTCGACGACCTGCTGCTGTTTTCAAGTCTTGGCAGAGGGAAGTGTGCATCAGGATGCAAGCAGATGGAGCGTGCAGGCGAGGGAGAGAAGGGAGGAGGAAAAAGAGGTAGGAGGACGATTTGCAGCATGTTTCGTATACCCATGCCTGGCACGTTTCTACATCAACCTGTTTCATCATTTACTGCGGAGGCCATTGCTTTGGACGAGGCTGCACAGGCTTTGGCAACCACGACCCAATATCACAAGGCCAACGGCCGTCAGCAAGCTTACCTGGGCCCAGAGAAACCGGCGGAGAAGAATAGAGGAAGCAATGACGGCATCCGCATACACTTTCGAAGGTCGGCGCCGACTTCTTGGATCGGCGCTGGGCCCCCCCGCCCTGGCGCGAAGGGAGCTGAGGAGCAACGATAGGGGGGGGGGACAAGCATCGGGGGAGACACATCGACCTAGAATCGGCGATACATCGCCGATCGATTGGCGATAGGCCCCCGATGGTGAATCCGCGCGCTCCTGGGCGGGGTGGGGCGATCGGGCCCCTATCGGCGCTCAGTGAACGAGGTCCATGCATCCCCCCCCTCACAGCCTGGGCGTTGACCTAAAGAACCTTAGATCGTTAAGGCACGAGGTCCCTTCTTTCCATACGTTAAGCTTCGATTTCCCATCGAAGACCTATGGAACACCTAAGGCAAACTGCAAGCACAACTAAGGACCACTGGGCCCCTCCCAAACGAAAAGGGTTCCTTCTTCAGCGCCCCGACTGTAAGCCTATCCCCCCAAAAGACCCTGGGCGCGCCTTCTCTCCGCACCGTGCGTCTGCGCACTGAGATCCCGGGCCCTGGGGTCCATGGTGCTCTGGTCGTGATTTCCCACGATGCTGTATTTTCCGCGACGTCGGAACTCAATCCTCTCGTTGGGGAAAAAATGCGGCGACGGATTCGTGTCCCTGAATTTCGGCTTCCAGGGGCCCTCTGGGACCGTCAAGAAACGGCTCGGGATGAAAAGCCGGTCCCCGAGGAAGAGGTCCAGACCTCTGGGGAGCCACGGTGTGAACAAAACGCGTGACGTCAGATGTCTGGGAAGAAGCAGGATGAGGGTTGATGAGGACGAGGAGGGGGAGGACCAGTGTAAACCCAAGACTCATCAACAATGTTGAAATACACCCTCCCTCCAAGATCCCTCTTCACAGGCTCCTGCAAGGGGGCCTTTCCACTGAAAGAATTGCCCTGTTGGGGGGCAACCGTTTGAACATCTTGAAGCGTACCAAAACACCGCTTCATGACTTCAACGCTACGAGTTAATCTGACTGTCACGTCGTGGCGATCCTGACTCGTGCCAGAACGCCATTCCTGGGACTTCAACGCCGCGAATCGAGTAACTGTTGCGCCCTGACATTCCTGAATCGTTCCCAAGCGCCATTTCTGGTACGTTAACCATAACACCACATGAAACTCTTGCTCTGTTCAGAACGAAAACGCGCGGCGCTAAGGCGAGGGCCACATTTCGAGAACGAGTTGCCCTCAGTCCGTGAAGCTCGTGGAGCTGATTAAAATGAAAGTGTACGGCACTCAAGCGAGAACCACATTTTGAAAACCAGCAACCCTCAATCCGTGAAACTCTTGCCAAGTGTTTGAAACGAATGTGCGCGGCGCTAAGGCGAGAGCCACATTTTGAAAAATGAGCCGCCCTCAATCCGTGAAGCTCTTGCAACTGATTAGGAGAATGTGCGCGGCGCTGAGGCTAGATCCACAAATTGAAAACGAGCCGCTCTCAAATCGTGAAACTCTTACAGTTTTACAACGAATGTGCGCGGCGCTACAGGCGTGAGCCACACAAAAAACGAGCCGTCCTCAATCTGTGAAGCTCTTCCAATTGTTTCAAAACGAATGCGCATGGCGCTAAGGTGAGTACAACATTTTGAAAACCGCCCGCCCTCAATCCGTGAAGCTCTTGCCATTTCTCAAAACGAATGTACGCGGCGCTAAGGCGAGAACCACATTTTGAAAGCCACCCGCCCGTCATCTGTTAAGCTGTTGCCAATTTTTAGCATCAAGGTCATACATGGTGAAGAACTCTCAAGCGAAACGCCCAGCGGGCCATTTCGACCAGCCTCAGAGTGCGACAGGGAGGAGTTATCTATAAGGAACAAAGAGTGGAGGGATATAGGAAAAAGGGAGAAGGAGGACTACGACTAGGACGGTGGCCTGACTCCGACGAGGCAGGTCCAAAGGCGAAGCTGAGTATAAGGAGGAGGAGAAGGAGGAAGAGGAGGCAGCGAGAGGCCAAGGTTAGGGAGGAGGGGCGTCGGGAGTCGTTGTCGTCGCCTGTTGGATTCTCGTCTCGCACGGCGTAGAGGGACGCGAGAGGACGAATGTCCTGTTGCGTCTGCCTCTCCCGCCCACATGGAAGTGGACGTGAGCAATGTTTGACCAATCTATGTGTCGGGTACCCTGTCGCGATCCACCGTTCTCGCAAGATGTTAGTTTTCCGTGTGTCAGGCCTGTGGGGACTATGGCACCTCGAGCTTCCAGAATCTCAGCAAACTTTAAGCCAGAGACCCTCGCCAAGGGTGGGAAGCGTCTCGTTGATTCCCATGAGGGGGAAGAGTTACTGACAGGAGTGAGAGAGTGGGGCCGCCCAGACGATCTGCGCCCCCCCGAGTGGCCAATGTGTCGCAGCGGCCCCTGTCCCAGGATCAGGCCGCCAAGATAGGCAAGAGGCAAGAGGAGGAGGAGTAGGGGGGGAGGAGGAGGTGGAGGAGAAGGGGGAGGAGGAGGAGGAAGGTGTGAGGATGTGAACCGGACCAGCACACACGTCCATGG